CAATTGTCCAGCCCATGAAAAGTCTGATTCATGTCCTCTGCTCAATTTGCGACTCGAGCATAACAGTTTATCAAAACAAAACAATTTATTCGGCACGCTGTTCACCGATATATAAAAGAGTGTTTTTTTTAGTAGGCACACGGTAAAATGACTACTGTACACCAATAAATCGACACATTTTAGAGACAACTATCTAGTCTTCAAAAAGCAATGTAAACTCTGTCAATCCTAAAAATAAACAACAGCTTGAATGAGGTGTGAATGAGATAGGTTCGAACCGCAGTTTTTATGCAAATTCGTGCGGTCGTCCTGAACCGCACTGTCTATTGTTTAAACTTCCAAACCGCAAAACTGGGTTTTGTTCGGGCGGTTTAGGGCGGTTTGGGTTTTCGTAGGTTTGACCTGCATGTTTGAATATGAGATCACCCCTTAAAAGAGCACAAATTCCAATTTCATGCCAGGTATTCATGATAATGACATGCAAATACTGTATTCACTCTATTAATAATACATGTCTTACATACATGAAAGGGGAACAGTTTTTCTCTATTAATATCAAATGTACTTACATAAATGACATGAGGTATGAGTTTAAATAAGCCACCTTATTGATCCAGTATACAATAAATGTTGTTTAACATTCCCTTGTATTGGAAATGTACTTATATTAAATCAAATAGGGGTGGCTGGGGCTGACTGAATTTTTGTTTGTGCATATAAACTAATTTTTAAATTTTCTAGATGCTATTTTGTGTTTAGCATGTAGATTTTAACATTTTACATCTTTTTCATTCATTTAGTACCACAAAGTTTATATTTCACTCAGTATTTTTTGCGTTAAAGTATGCAAAAAATACATCTGATGACTATTTAACAGGGGCAGAATTCTGTCATTGGAAAAGTTCCACTCATAGAATCAATCAGTGGCTAGGGGAATTATTAATACTAAGTAGCATATACTGATCCCTGCCAAGTAAAATCAGAATTCTGAATTCATCAATGTTTTTTTTTTGTATCACAGTATGGTCGCCTGATTGACCTGTGTGAGCCTAGTCAGAAGAAATACCAGATAGCTGTGACTAAAGTACTGGGTAAAAATATTGACGCCATCATAGTAGATTATCAGAAGACTGCCAGGGATTGTATTCAGTACATGAAAGAACAGAGATCTGATCCGGAAACTTTCTTACCCTTAGATTATCTAGATGTTAGACCTACCAATGAGAAACTCAGGTATTGAAGTGTCAACTATATCAAGTGTACTGTAATGTTTCTAGTTTTGAAAGGAAACATTTCCTGCTTTTGGATGTCTTGGGACTGTTAATGAGCAGGAAATGAAGATATTCTGTTCGTTATGATTAATAATGATATTGCATAAATGCTTTTGTGATTTGTAAAGTTCTCTACATTCATGAATTTGTACAACAGTTTGATGGCGATTTCTCTGCTCTTACTGCCTTGTAAGATCGTTGAGTTTCTCAAAACATATTGGTTATGCTTGTGGGCACAATTTACTTAATTTGGCTCATCCAGTGCCACTGCACAATACAAATATAATTGACTTATATTGTCTCCAAATGTTTTTTTTGTGGACAGTTCTGTTGAAATTCTTTTTGCATTTTTCATTTCAGAGAAATTCGTGAGCCCAAAGGTGTAAAGTTAGTCGTTGATGTAATTCGATTTGATCCCCCACCAGTGAAAAAAGCATTGCAGTACGCATGTGGCAATTCATTGGTGTGTGAGTCCGTAGATGACGCCCGTAGGGTGGCATTTGGTGGTGCTGAGCGACACAAAGCTGTGGCATTGGATGGTACTATGTTTCAAAAAAGTGGTGTTATATCAGGTGGGGCAAGGTGAGTTAGGGTGCATTATTTTAGGGTACTGATTCTTGTTTTCACAGCCCATGCAAAATCTGTTGATTTGAAGTGCAAACCCCATTATTATTGATAGAAACACACTGTTAAACTACCACTAGGCCAAAATCATCTTTACTGATACTAACTTCATCTAACATTCACTACTTACAGTGATTTGAAAGCCAAAGCGCGTAGATGGGATGAGAAGAGCTTGAACAAGTTGAAGTCACAGAAAACCAGTCTGACGGATGAGTTGAAGGAACTGCATAAATCCAAGAGAAAGGAGTCAGAGCTGAACACCATTAAGTCTCAGATCAGTGGCTTGGAAACTAGACTCAAATATTCCATTAATGACAGAGAAAATACAGTAAGTCATCTCATGAGAATATGTGTAATTGCACACTATTCTTTGAAATACTGAAATTACATTGCTAATATTGTTCACTGGTGAGCCAAGTCAAGATTTTTTCATTTCCCTGATTTTGGCTTGACAAGTTCATAATTACCATAGTAACTCATTTGTGAGTGGAAAAATTACATATGCTAATACTGGTAATCTAGCAGCAATTAATTCACAGTGTATGTATCTGAATTAGACTGTCAAATACGCACACTTACATTGAAATTTTATTTATTTATTTCAGAAAAACAAGACACTGGTTAATAATCAAAAAGCCAAGCAAAAGTTTGAAAGAGATCTGGAAGGTTTTGGGGTAAGCATCACATCGTTTCAAGAAATTAATGGTTGCAAATATGCCATGTAGAGTGGATACTTTGAATAGAATTTCCCAATGCTTGAGGTTGAATATGACTGCTCATACAAAGAAATAATATATTTCTGTCAGCTGGCATCACAATCCCAATAACTCTACATTCTGGTAATTTATTTAATTATTTTTTTTTTAATTCATTCTTTTTCAGCCACGAATGGAAGCCATTGAAGAACAGATAATGCTGAGGGCAGAACAGATCAACAAAACAAAAACAAATATGAATAAAGTAGAAGATGAGGTATGTTGACATTCAGTGAATGATCTAGAGATATTTACAAAGTCTGTAAAAAAAAAAACAGGTCAACAACACATTACAAACTGGCATGTTGTTAGCTCCGCTGTCGACTTTGTCGAGCGGAGCTTATCATATGAGTGATTGTCCGTCGTCGTCGTCCGTGTCAATGTTTTACTTTTTCGACTTCTTCTTGAAAACTACAAGCCTGAATGCTTTGATACTTGGTGTATATGTACCTTGGGTTGACCTCTCTTAGGTTTGTTCATTTCATGTTGATATCTTCAATTCTCTAATTTTGGTGAATATTTTTGTCATTTTTGGTAAAAAGTGATATTTTCGACTTCTTGTTAAAAACCGCAAGTCCAATTGATTTGATACTACATATATAGGTATTACATGTGGACCTCTCTCAGATTTGTTCATTTCGTGATGATATCTTCAATTCTCTAATTTTGGTGAATATTTTTGTCATTTTTGGTAAAAAGTGATATTTTCGACTTCTTGTTAAAAACCGCAAGTCCGATTGTTTTGATATTACATATATAGGTACTACATGTGGATCTCTCTCAGATTTGTTCATTTTGTGATGATATTTTCAATTCTCTAATTTTGGTAAATATTTTTGTAATTTTTGGTAAAAAGTGATATTTTCGACTTCTTGTTAAAAACCAATACTGTAGAATACTTTATTTTCGCTTGGAATTTATTTTCGCTGAAGGGATGATTCAGTGAAAATAAAATCCAGCAAATATACTTTTTTTCCTATGTTTCACATTAAACTAATCAAAAATCAGTGAAAATAAATTCCATACAAAACGCCCTAAAAGCCTTTTCAGCGAAAATTAATTCCAGCGAAAATAAAGTTATTCCACAGTAGTTCAATTGCTTTGATATTACATATATAGATACTACATGTAGACCTTTCTCAGATTTGTTCATTTTGTGATGATATCTTCAGTTCTCTAATTTTGGTGAATATTTTTGTCATTTTTGGTAAAAAGTGATATTTTCAACTTCTTGTTGAAAACTGTAAGTCCGATTGCTTTGATATTACATATATAGGTACTACATGTGGACCTCTCTCAGATTTGTTTGTTTTGTGATGATATCTTCAATTCCCTATTTATTTTGGTGAATATTTTTGTAATTTTTGGTAAAAAGTGATATTTTCGACTTCTTGTTAAAAACTGTAAGTCCGATTGCTTTGATACTATTCATATTGTTCATTTTCTAATGATATCTTCAGTTCTTTAATTGAAATGTGCATTGCTAACAGCGGAGCTATCTTAGCCGATAGGCTGCTTGTTTAGAGCAGTTTTGAGTAAAGACCATGTAATATGTATTAGTTTTTGTTGAATATTGTATTCATTTCATTCATTCATCATCATTCATGTGCATCACCTGTTTTGGGGCAACTGATGTATTTTTTCTCAATATTCATGAGTTGTGCTGTCCCTTTTTTCTTAGTCTGTAATTTTTCCAAACCTTGTTGACATGAAATTATATTATGAATGTGTAATAGATTTTCAGTCTGATAGATACTGGTTAGATAAATGAATATCTGTTTTCTGCTCTAGGTTTTCTCTGATTTCTGTCGGGCTATCGGAGTGAAGAATATAAGACAGTATGAAGAAAAAGAGCTGCGTGTGCAGCAAGAAAGAGCCAAGAAGAGACTAGAGTTTGAAAATCAGAAATCACGTTTAGCTAATCAGCTGGAGTATGAACGTTCCAGGGATACAGATGGTAGGTTGGTGTATGATGCTATTATTAACAAGCTGTGCTCACTTGTTGGTGTGTCCAGAATTTCTGCACTTTCTAGAGTGCGACAGAAATCTTATCAGCCATGCAAATGTATTCAAACATCGCATGAATTGTCACCAGAACCTAGATGTTTATTGGCCAGCTTCCATGCAGCACACAGGGAATCTCCCCACAAATTTGGTAATCGCCTGACTGATTAAATTCATTGAAACTAGAGGTTATAAGCATAACCGGGACAAGATCACAGGTCTTTTAGTTTTGAGATCTTGCTTCAGCCTATCGGATTGCTGGATTCTGACTTACCATGTTATAATAACACTTTATTGTAGATTTTTTAATTAGTCCCCGTTCAGACAAAGTCCGAAAACGGGGACTTATTATTCGGTCTCCGTCTGTCTGTCCGAAGTCATATCTCACAATACCTTGGACCAATTCCGTTCATTCTTTGCATGTGCCTAGTACTTTATGTGGGACTTATGCACATGCAGTGGTTTAGCGATTCGATTCAAAATGGCCTACTGGCAGCCATCTTGTTTTCTGAAAATGTTGTATTTTGGACATGCTTTGTCAGTTTTCATTCAAATTTAGTACATAGATCATACATGTTAGAATACATGTCCCCTACCGTCCGTGAGTTCCTGAGTCTGTCCGTCCGTCTGTGTGTCAGTCATATTTCAGAGTGATATTTCAGAATCCTGTGCACCGATTCTGTTCATTCTTTGCATGTGCCTAGTACCTTATGTGGGACATATGCACATGCAGTGGCTTAGCGATTCAATTCAAAATGGCCGACTGGCAGCCATCTTGTTTTATAAAAATGTTGTATTTTGGACATGCTTTGTCAGTTGTCATTCAAACTTGGTACATAGATTATACATGTTAAGATACATGTCCATGACGATTTATTTCGCAATTAGATCAAAGATGGTCGACTGGCAGGCATCTTGTTTTTTTGTTTTTTTATGCCGTATCTTGGATGTGCTTTGTCAGTTTTCATTTGAATTTGGCACATACATGTACTTTATACATGTTAGGATGCATGTCCATAACAATTTGTTTCAAAATCTGGTCAAGGGTGGCCGATTGACAGCAATCTGACTTTTTGGCCTTACTACTATATTTCCACAATTTATGTACCATTTTCATTCGTATTTGGCACATACATCATACATATCAGTGTGTTTCATAATCAGGTCAAAGATGGCTAAATAACGGCTGTTTTTATTTTTGGCCATATTACTACTACACGGAACACGTGTTTTGATGTAAATAAACAATCTGTTGTATACGCCACTTGGAACTCAAGTTTCAAGGACACACTCGCGACAATCCCCCGCTTTAATATGACGAGCACAAAGAAAATTTTCAAAAATTTAACGGGGACTGTGACATTTTCATTGACTTGTTCAAATATGCATTTAACAAATAGAATCTTTGAGTTGCTGTTTTAAGGTGGGGGTGTCAAAGCTGTTTAACTCTGCTCATAAATTGGACTGTTTTGTGTAATATCGTTTGTTTTCATTTATTTTTCCCCTTGCAGACTTTTGTGGGGGTGGGAGGGATAATCAAGAGATTACTTTTGCATGTTTTTTTTTTACCATCTAAAAGATTTGTGCTATTCCAAGCACATTACTTTTTTTTAGCTACGCTGTCGACTTTGTCAAGCGAGGCTTATGCTTGTATGAGTAATTGTCCATCATCGTCCATGTCAAGTCTTTGACTTTTTGACTTCTCTATATCTACAAGTCTGATTGCTTTGATTCTTGGGTAGACCTTGCTTAATTTTTTAGCTTCGCTGTCAACTTTGTCGAGCAGACCTTATCATATGAGTGATAGTCAGTAGTTGTCTGTGTAAATTTTTAATTTTTTTCGACTTCTTCTTGAAAACTACATTTCTTATTACTTTGATACTTATTGTATATGTGCAGTGGGCAGACCTCTCTTAGATTTGTTCATTTCGTGATGATATTTTAAATTCTCTAATTTTGATGAATATTTTTGGTAAAATGTGATATTTTCGAATTCTCCTTATAAAAAAAAAACGCAAGTCTGATTCCTTTAATGTTATACATGTAGTTACCTCAGATAGACCTCTCTCAGATTTGTTCAGTTCTTTAATTGAAACATGCATTGCTAACAGTGGAGCTATCTCAGCCGAGAGGCTGCTTGTTTCATTTCATGATGATATCTTTAATTCTCTAATTTTATCTTATGATTCAAGTTAGGATTATAAATTATACTTTCTTCCTTTGTTTCTGAATTAGTTGCCCTCTAAGCTGCTTTTTAAAAAGATGTTCTTATTTGTTGCCAATCTGTTCTATTTAAAAGCTAACGTCAAGAAATGGTCTAAAAATATTGAGCATGATGAGAAAGAGTTAAAGAAGTTAAAAGATGAAGAAACCAAACAGATGAAGGTGTGTATCGGTAACCATTTATTATACATCTAAACTAAAGAATTATTTGTCATTTCAACCCAAGAAACAGTCAGTTGTATCTTGCATAAATTACAGACATTATAATTTATTCTTGTGCAAAGTGTTTCATTTTTGCATGAGTCTAACTTTCATGATTTTGCAAGTCACATAAAAAAATATGAATCCAATGGATGTCTTTATAGAAAGGACTGATGATGACTTTGTAAAACCTGGAGTTGATATGTGGAAAGGGGTCATTTCTTTTAGGCGATATGAACAACAATTTTTAATTTTCAAACTTAAAGAAATTGATGTTAATTTTCAGTCTGTGTATTTATGCAAACACTAAATAGGTATAGTGACATCTGATGAAATACATCAGTATATTTAAAACATGTGCATGACATAATCTACTTTCGTTTTGTCTTTTGGCAAACTTCAACAATTTGCGAACGCCTAATATGTAAATATCTCGAGTAAGATATTAATTAAATTCTATCAAAACACAGAGATAACCAAATGCATGCCTTTATTTTGTTTCTTATACCCATATTTTGTTTCGTTGTCATAGGTGATTGATCACGATTCCGAAACTGTGACCAAATTGAAGTTTTCCAAGACAACAAAAAAATCAGAAATTGATGACAAAAACGGTGAAATTGAAGAGATAAGGAAAAAGGTTAATAGCTGCCAGAAAGATATTACTGGTAAGTTCAATATTATTTTTCACAATCAGTTTGAAATAGACTGAAAAAAGATTTCAAATAAAGATTTCCATACAAAAACTAGCAGATTCTGAACAAGAGTTGTTAAGGAATGTGTAATACATTTGGCATGTCGATAAAATCATTAAATTGATTGTCAACTTTCACAGTGTACTATTTTCTTGAAATATTTTTATTCATCAAAGGTAAATCAAGTCTGTTTCCAAAATTATAGCAAAATGTTCATTGCTTTGCCGCATTTTGTATTTGAATAATTGTGATTCATGGCAATAAAGACTTAAAGTATTTAATGTTAAATTCTAGCCATACAGAAACAGATAACTGCCACGGAGACAAAGCTAGAACAGAAAAGAGCTGATAGACACAGTCTACTCAAAGCCTGTAAAATGGATGATATTAGGCTGCCAATGAAGCGTGGCACTATGGATGACATTACGCAAGAAGGAGAGGTAAATATATACTTCATGTCAAGATAAAATCTTTTTCCCACTAGAGTAAGTAATTCTGTATGTTTGTAAACAAAATATGACTATAAAACATCAGCCTGGCACTAATAAAACCTTATGTCCACAGCCTATGGCACAGGGTGTTTAGACGTCCTTGTCACTGACCCGTGAGTGATTTTCTCATATGTGCCATGGCATTCTTTGAGTCAGTGTCTGTTGGAAAATTAATTATAATGAAACTTGTGTCATCTTGTGTATAAATAGTGATTAAAACATTACTAGAATGGTTGAAATTTCTCTGTTAGCAAATAATATGGTTATCGCTGCACACCTATATTCCAACATCAAGAGATCCAAAATTTGGAAGCTTCTCAACACATTTTTATCATATTTTGAATTCATGAATAGTAATTTGTCTGTTTTTCTGCAGTCTTCAAGTCAGGTTGAAGCAAATGAAAGTGGATCTATAACAGGAATGGACAGCATGAGCAGCCAGGGTGCTAAAACTATTTATGCCAAAGAGGCTAATATTATTATAAATTACAGACATATCAGAGAGGAACTGAAAGATGTAAGTATACATCCTGTGATTTGTAGTAGCTGGTACTCTACTTCATAAGTGCTTCTCCAATAGTTCCCTACTGTAGGTATTTGCTTGCAGCAAGCAATACTCTTACATTGTTCATAACAATACCCAGCAACTATAGTATTGTAGTCTCATTGAGCATTTAGCATTTCTCTTGGCCCACATGATGTTGTATTTGTCACTGAATAATATCGGTATTGATTATTATCTGCTTTTTAGTGTGATACGCATGAGGAAGTGAAAGAAATGAACGATAAATTAAATGTAGAAGTCAGTAACATGCAAGCAACAATACAGAGAATATCGGCACCAAACATGAAGGCCACAGAAAAGTAAGTTTGTCTTGTCAGTTGCTTAAATTTAGTAATTTATAACATTGCTCTTAATAGTATTAGTTGTCAATCATTCTATTCTTGAAAACTACCAAGTAAATTGTTTTTGTAATGTAGGTACCTTGGGTGGACCTCTGTCAGATTTGTTCATTTCATGATATCTCCAATTCTCCATTTTTGGCAATTACCAGGCGTCACTGCTCACACATTTCACATCTGCCTGTAACACATGGACTGGTTTCTTCTCGGATTTCATCTAAGTGTTAGTAAATGTAATAATTGAGAACAGAAAACAAGAAACATTTCTTCATTTACATCATAATGTAATTTTTAGTAAATTTTGGAAATGTCCATTTACTACATTTGCTACTTGAAAAGCATAGATGGAGTAAAATTTGTATGGCCTCCAATTTGTTAATTTTTTCTCCAAATTTGTTTTTTCTTGCACCATAATAAGAATGAAGATTAAAACATACAAGAATAATAAAGTATTCATTATCATTGCTGTCATTAACTTTTTATGATGACGAATATTCTTTATCTACTGTGACTTAACACTTTATCTTTGTAGGTTAGACGGTGTGAGGGAACGATTCCAGTCAACTGCTGAAGAGTTTGAACATGCTAGAAGGAGGGCGAAAAAGTCCAAACAGCAATTTGAAATTGTCCGAAAAGAAAGATTTGACAGGTTTAATAATTGTTTTGAACATGTGTCTGTCAGAATTGATGACATTTATAAGGTATGTATTAAGTTTGTCAGATATGGATAAAATAAAGAACCATTATAAATACAGGCTTTTACTGTAGCAAAGCTGTGTAGTAAACTACTGTCATATCCCAACTTGTAGTCAGTGTCAAATTACACCAGTATTGTGTCAATAATTAATGTTGAATAATGTCACATTGAGTCCACTACTACACAAACAAACACTAAAATTCAAGTTTTTAGGAAGTAACTCTCCAAGAATTCCAGAACTGTAAACCGTAATATTTCTGTCGTAATCAATATATATTATTTGATGAGTTTATAAAGACGAAATTTCAGTGTAAATAACTGACTCTCCTCTCAATGACTGCTGTGAAAACCATCGACTATGTCTCAATGACTCCTGTGACAATCAATGACTCTTCTCAATGATGTTTGTGGAAATCAATGACTCCTCAATGACGCCTGTGAAAATCAATGACTCTTCTCAATGATGTTTGTGGAAATCAATGACTCCTCAATGACGCCTGTGAAAATCAATGACTTCTCAATGATGTCTGCGAAAATCAATGACTCTCCTCTCAGTGATACCTGTGAAAATCACTGACTCATCACAACGTGAACGTTCTCTAAGAATTTGAAATGTTGCAGTTGCAGTAGTAGATATCATGGTTTTTATTTCTTTCCAGGCACTATCGAGAAATCAAAGTGCACAAGCATTTCTTGGTCCTGAAAACCCAGAAGAACCATATTTAGATGGTATCAACTATAACTGTGTAGCTCCAGGTAAAAGATTCCGACCAATGGACAATTTATCTGGTGGCGAGAAGACCGTAGCTGCTTTAGCTTTGCTGTTCGCTATACATAGGTACGTATGTACACAGTTCGGTTGACGTTCATTACTGGAATAGTGAAGTATCATCTGTAGTAGCAAAATCAAAAGCATAATACTATTCACAAATCAATGTCATGTTGTTACATAAATTGCATTCCTACTGTGTTACGTCTCACTGCCACGTTAGTTTCAAGCCAAATTTGCACCCTTGATTGCCACTGAATGTGTATTTTGTGGTATCTGGTGCCTTATATGAATTTTTCTGGTCATATATCACACTTATGTTCAGCGTTTGCTTCTGGGCATTTCTGTGTGATTGAGTGTCTTCCCGGGAAATGATTTGTGACTACTGTAAAAATGCATGTTTAGCCATAGTGAGAATGACAACTTAAGGTAGAAGCCTACTCATAAATTAAAAAACCCAGTATTTATTCATTTTGCAATAAATTGTACTCCAAGGCAATATAAGGATATTGACGTAAAAAAAGTTCACCAGCCTTTTTTCGAGAAATTGATGGTTGTATTTTAGTGGAAAGTTGCCATTTTGACACTATTATAACACTTTTACCACAGGTTCCTATGGCAGAGATATTATGTAATATCTCAAAATCTAGCCTGGTGACATAGGCTGAAAAAATTATATTTTGTTAATGATGGAGTACTTTTTGTCATTCTGAATTATTTAAAAAATCTGGGTTTTAAAAAGTGTCAAAAAATGCAATTTTTCTTAACATTGTGTTCTATGGAATTGTTCTAAAAATAGCAATTTTCAAGAAATATTAGGACACGTTTCTTAAAAATCGTAACTGTTACACACAAAATAATGCTATTTCATTATACCATGGGACATTAGCTTCATGTTTGTACATAATAAACTAATGAACATTGTCATGCGATTTATGACCAATTTTGTCCAAAATCATGACTTGGCTTCTACCTTAAATGAGAATCTTGGAAAATACACTAAAGTGTCAACACCTTGCACAAATTTTGTAATTAACTCTCTTAATTCGACTTTCTAGTTACCAACCAGCACCGTTCTTTGTCTTGGATGAGATTGATGCGGCTTTAGATAACACTAATATTGGCAAAGTAGCAAGTTACATAAAAGAACAGTCAGACGGTCATTTCCAGTGTATCGTCATTTCACTGAAAGAAGAATTCTACACTAGAGCTGATGCTCTCATTGGTATCTACCCCGAGGTGAGATAACATAGTCATTTGCTTTTTAAAGGAAATTAAAATTTGGAGTGTGTGAATTTTCAGTCTGGGTCATTGCTTTGATGGTTTACAGTGATGTGCTCACCGTTGTGGTGATGAATAGTTTTATACTGTGTATATTCTGCAGTGTTTTTTTTCAGGATGTTGATTAATGATGTGGGCTAGTTTCATACTGTTCATGCACTTTCCCATAAACTGCTTATACTTTTGTATCACATTGATTCAGTGAGTGTGTATTGAAGTGTTCAATGTTTGACAGTTTGTATGCTAGGGATGAATTATATAACAGGCTCCTGAGGTGTGGTGTACTGTTTGTTGCCCTGTATTGCCATGTACCTTGATGGCATAGATACTTGCAAGTTGTGTTTGAATGAAAATACTTTGTACAGTATTAGTGAAATGGGGGAGAACACTGCTGACACCCACAAACATAATACTTATATTCCTTGCGAAGTCTGAGTTTGAGTATCCATAAACTGAACATGTCTCGTGGCCTTGTTTGTGGAATGTGGTGCTCACAGGATCAAACCGAAAGTCTTAGGTCAAACACTCTGACACTGTTGTACGCCTGTCTAGAACTGAGTAATGTTCTCATTGTTGATAATCATGGTCCTGGATAGTAGCAGTGTATGCGAAAAGTTATAACAAAGTTTTCTTCAAGCCAATTAACATTTGCATATTATGATTTTTGATTGGCTTAATTTAGTTATGGTCTTTATAGGAATATAGATACTAGTTTCATCACTGGTGTCTGTGAGTGTGCATGCAATAGATGCAATCATTTGTTTTTTCGAAATTTTTGTATTGTTTTGAGTTTTTTACGTTTTTGGGGAATTGTTTTTCACATTTCCACATTTTTGTATTTTTCTAAAAACAAGAAGACTTGTGAGCAAGTTTGCATCTCTCCTGTTCAATGTACTTATATTGCTATTTTTCGACTTTCGCAGCAAGGTGATTGTGTTATCAGCAAGACGTTAACACTGGACCTCACCCAGTATCCTGATCCTACACGATCTTCCGGCCCAGGCAGTCCGACGAAGACAGGGCGATGAAATCTTAACAACCCGTGAAAAATATCAGCATTTAACAAATTTTTATAATGAATAAATGTTTTGTTTTTGTGTGCGTCTGTTTTAACTCATTACATTGGTGTAATCAGCGTCTATTTAATAGTTGTAGTTCGTCCAAACTCTTATATAACCATAAATGTTAGCGAACATCCAATTTTCAAAGGTCAATGAACTGTTTGCTTGTTCATATTCCAATCTATCGTACAACAGAAGCTTATTGTTTTAAAACTGGAATTAAATTGCAAAGATATTGACATTTCATCGTATATTTCATTGTGATGGTTACAACAAAGATCTGCAACATTCCTCTATAATTCATTGGGAGTTGATTATTTAAAAAAAAATGTTATCATTGTTAGTTATCAGACTTGATATGATTAATTTTCCGTTACAAATGATTCATGAATGTGCTTTTTATCTAATTGACTGAAAACTGTTAAATTATTGTTCTCATATTTTTCTAGATTTTTTTTCTACTAGGATTTTTTAAATCAAATTGGCGATATTAATATTTTGTAGAGTTTTACGACTTTGAACTCACTGTAATTGTGCCTCCTGTTGGTTATTAGATTAAATAAACAATGTATCCAGAGATATGATGCCGGTCTCCTTGAAATTTTTTGATATCAGAATCGCATGCATAGTTCAAACACTACACAAGTGTATGTATGTGTATTTTTAGTGCTTGTGTCAGGGTCAGACTTTGTATGCTTTTGTACTAGTAACTCAATACAAACTAAAAACTGTTGTTGAGCTGCATGTGCAACATTTTGTTGTTCAGGATTGTCTCATAGTTGAGTTTGTGCTGTTCTCTTGACTGTTTTCACCGGTTCTTTGATCAGTGTTCCACAGCAGCTCATGCAGAGCCAATAGAATACATAAAACGTTCTATGAAGTTTAATTATGTTTCTGTCCGATCTTTTTCACTTATTTTGCCACTGCACAGCGCCCTCTGTTGACGATTTGATGAAACTTGCAAAATGTGTGCCTCTGCTAATATTTTACCACTGCCCTATTTTTTTCAAAAAACAATTTGACCAGAAAGTTTTCGCCCACACTAACGCTAATTTTGACTTCCTGTTCCGCTCTGTTCCTGAGAATACAATTACCAGTAGTGTAACCAATAAACAATAATGTGGTGTCTTATGTGAAATGTTTAAGTTAGATTTCAGCTAATTTTTCTCTCCATGATGAACTTTCTACATTGAAATTAAAGAACTTACTATGTCCTGGAATTTAAGATACAAGTCTTTAGATAGAAACATGCTATATATCCCCTTATTAAGAAATAAAAAAAAATCAATCTATGAAAACATTAGAGAGTGTCAATATCATTGATTTATTTTCTGACTTTGAGTTCTACTTAGACTTGCGATTTTGATGAAAAATTTTGAGATATAAATTTGCGTAAACAAGGAGTGAACCCGAAATTCCTATCTCCGCGAAATTTTAAGGTCTGCTGTAAGATTAGTGTAATTGGAAGATATAAACAGAAAGACCACCATACATTTGATTAAATCATGAAGATAATAAACAGATGGTCACAGCACAGTTATGAAAGAAAATGTTTTTAAGTAAACATGGCACAAGTAAATACTGTAAGTAAAAAAAAAACATGAAATTGTTTATAATTGTTTTTTTTCCATTGTCTAATTTTTAAATACCAATATCAACATGGCTTCACTATAGAATCTGGAACCTTTTATCACATTTAAATCAACCACCCATCATGTTTGAACCCAAACTCTCCCCACATTAACAATGGTACATCCCAGGAAATGTTCCCTTATCTGCCTGATTGCATTATAGGAAGTGGTGGAATCTTAGCACAGAATTTGGTCTTCCTGTCTATTGTATGCTCTACCTCAGATGATAGTAAACATGGATCGGAGATGTCTTCGTTGGGTTCTTCTCTGCCTGTTGTGCAACACCCAATTCATGGTACAAGGTACGTGGCCGAATGAACTTGTAGTCGCTATTCTTGAGTCCATACAATACCAGTTATGTTAATCGTAGACCTTGTCAATAACTCCAACATAACTTGAAGTTTTTCTTGTGGAATAATCATCGTATCTTTATCATAGTGCACTTGGCAATGCTGGTAGCACATAGTTCATGGTTACATTTCCTTCAGAATGCAGCGAATTGAAATGTATTAGTTACACATTGAACATTTGTATTTGTCCTGCTCTGTTCATTTAATTAATAGTACTGCGCACGTATAACAAAATATAACACCAGTTGACTTTTAGTTTAGGATTTAAATTTTCAGATATTTTTTAATCAATTACAGCTGATTTATGTTATTTATTCCAATCGCAATTCACTTCTTGCATATATTTGGTAATGAAAGAAGAAAAGAACATATAATATATTGCGTAGTCGTTGTTTTCTATGGTCTATGCATTGACCTAGTAACTGATTTGAGCCGTTATCTAAATAGACAGGTCAATTTGAGCCGTTATCTAAATAGACAGGTCTTAAGCATATAGATACAGAGACCTTTAATCTTAGATAAAACTTATGTATTGCGAATTTATAAACAAGTTGGCAAAGTCATTTGGTTTATTGTGGCTACTATAAATACAATTTTGGGTGGATGGGAGTGGGTGTGGACAGGAGTAAGTTGAAACATAGACCTTAGAAACTTTTCCAAGGTCTATGGTTGAAACCATACCATAATTGCTCAAAAAGTTTATTTTGTCTTTATACTATCTTGTGTAATTTCTGACGAAATGTTTCAATGGAGGTAGGGGGCGGGGTTGTTTGGGTTATGCAGGTATAGTGTACTGTAAAGGGGTTAATTATTCACTGGGTTTTAATTTTGCTTATTTCGCTGACTGGAAAATGTGCTAAATTAAAACCCAGTGAATATGTAAAATTTAGCATTGAACACATTATCTAAATGATAAAACCGTGAATTTAAAACCCACTGAATATGCCTAAAATGGAAAATCAGCGAAATTTAAACCCAGTGAAAATTAGTCATTTTACAGTATATAATGACTATACTGTATAATTATCCTAGAACAAAGGCAATCATAATATCTTAAATCAGCATACAATCAACGCTTCTGATACAAAATACAGAAAACCTGCATACTGTCAGTAGATCAAAAACTCATCCGTTTTTCTGTTATTTACAACTATGAATATCATAGTAGTGATTATATACCAAATCTATAATTATATTTGCACGTTTCAAAATTTCCGCTGAAAAATTAGTCAGAAAAGAAATGTCATTTGTGAATAAACTCTTGTCAATCAAAACTGTGATTGTAAATAAACTACTGATATATGTTATCTATTTTATCTGTTTATAAGCAGACTTGTTATATTTACAGTGTATACATGCAGTCTTGGCACATTAGCAGACAGTCAGTTAGCACTCTGAATCTGGATACCTATACCACCATAATTCTGCTCATGACTTTTCATGAAGGCTTTTAAAACTGACTGGAAGTGGACATTAATTTGATCGTTTTAAATATGAAGTAACTTGCTAAATTGTTTTATTCAAATCTTCACATTCAAATCTCAAAAAATGTAGAGTCTGTCATGAAGAAAATCACAGAATTGGGATGATCATTATTTAGGTGTTGCCATTTAGATTCAAAACAAATTCTCAAATATTGAGAAGTGATTTCATATTTCCATTAGTTATGATGATTTCAATGAGTCAAGGTCAGAATAAAATGGTAATTATGTGCAAATTGCAAGTGTGAGTGCCAGCCGTACATAATGCATTTTTGCCACAGAGAAACCATATTCATATTTTGGACTACATAACCGGGCTATGCTGCCATCACTCAATCAAATGGCTGGCCTGGTCGAACACTATCCCCCATTAGTGAAGGAATTTAGACCTGTGGAATCAGCCTTCCCGTTGAGGCTGTGACAACTTGCCCAGGGTGGGATTGGGTGGGGTTTGAGCCTTATGTTCAACCACAGTCCCTCTATCCCAGGGACTGTGGTTCAGCCTAAAGTAAGATTTGAACTCTGGTCTACCAATCATGAATCTGATACAACAACCACTATGCTACCAGTGGCCGGAAGTATTCTTGATAAGAGTTACAAAGTTTTGGCCACCATTTCCACCACAGTATTTTGACTATAGAAGTTTTGACCAAACACATGTTTTTTACCTTATCAACTGAGCTCTTGAGTTTTTATATATACATTTACTTTTAACGCTGTACTTGCAATGTACAATTTTAAACTAAATACTTGTGAATGTTGCTGTCCTTTTACAATGTATGAGTTATTAGTAAATAAATAGAAATACACACTGTACTTGTAATGTACGAGTTATTAATAAATATAATTAAATCTTAACATACAAGTTAAAACTGAATAACTAGAATTAGGAGTTAAATCTAAATATATATACATTTAATGGCGGGAACAAAACCTATGTGGACGAAATTTCCGTCCTGCTATTATCCAGAAACTGGAGTAAAATAAGAGTACTGACACTGTTTTGTTTCTTCTACAGGTATAATGATTGATGTTAAACATGAATGCTGCAACTTGGGCATTGACATCGCACAGGAACAGAATACATGTACGGGATATATTCTGCCAGATAGCATTTCTCTTCCTGATCACGATAGCTGCAGTAGAGTACTGGAAGTGTGCTGTGTGCAAGAATTACAAACATATCAATGTACTGAGGGTATCCTGATAGCCAGGGAGGGAGGGCAATGTCAGAAGCAGAACACAGTTATTGGAGGTGAAGATTTTCAGGTCAGTATATTGGTCATGCATTCACAATACAATGTACTTGGATTATTCAGTAGGTTAGGGGTGTCCAATATACCACTATACTGTGTTGACACGCTGCGTAAAGGTGCTGGGTATTGTTTATTTAATGGGTTAGGGGTGCTCAATAGATTTTATTCAGGTTAGGGTGCACAATATATACTGTGTTGACATAATGTCATTGTGTAAGGGACGACATCAAAAGATCAATGTTGGATAAAAAAATTAATTCCTTTAGTTTTTTTCCAAACCCCCCTACCCCCACTGAAACTTAATTGATAAATATTGGTAATGGCGTCAGACTATATTCACCATTAAATACAAATTGATAATCGGACAGTAGTATGGCATAGCAGTTGGTTGTTGGGTGGGTGTAAAAAGATTTTACAAATGCACCTCATTTGACGCACAGATTTACACTCGAACCAAATCATTTTTCTGTTTTTTTTCCTTTTTTGGTTATTTCTGTCCATGATTGGATAGAAAAAAACGAACTACAAATACTCCAACATTTTTTTGACTTCATTAAAAAATAAAATCGTTTTTGTAGGATGGGAACTTTTTGAGGTCAAAACCCCCCACCCCCAAACTAAAGGAAATAAGTTTTTTATCCAACATCGATCTTTTGACGTCGTCCCTAAGGGTGCTGAGTATTGTTTATTCAGTGGGTTAGGGTGCACAATATACTGGAATTATTCAGTGGGTGGGGGATGCCCAATTCTGAGTTGATTCAGTAGGTTTGAGTTTTGGAGAGCCATTACTGAGCTTATTATGTTGGTACCCAATATTAAAATTGTGGTTACACGCTAGCAGTGTTTAAGAAGTTCAAATAAGGACATACATGTACAGTTTAAGATATACATGTTATGTGTCTATCTATCAGAATCCACTAAAGTCTGACAGGTACTCATGCATTCATCCGCACTTACCTGCATTAATCAATTCATACCGGTACATCAAGTATTCGTTTCATCATCCAATTCAAGATGGTTAAACGGTGACTATTTTAAAGATAAAAATGCATTAAAATCAATCATTTCAATAATTCTGAAACCAAATCTTGGTTATGCATTGCCAGATTTGATACATACATATTTTGATGCGACTCACACTTTGTGTTTACTTATATCAACAAGCTTTATGGCTTTTTTTCAAACAAATTTTAAATGAAACTTTGTACATATGTAGTTGTGGTACTCTATAGATAGACATGATGTATTTGTACATGGGATTGCATTTGTTTCGTGGTTTAAATTAAGATTTTAATTTTGAACTTAAAAAAAATGCAGCATTTTGGCCATTCCGGGACCAGTTCAATTCAAAATTTACACATACAATAACATACATCAGTAAAATGCTATTTCAAAATGGTGAATTGTTTACTTTTGCCTGATAGTGACTGTGACTGAGTTTTCTAGCCATATACATTCACTGGTTGCATGCACTCAAAGTTTACACATGTTTTAATTTTGTTTACTATAGCATGTTGTTGATTTGTTTCTTTTACTTCCTTTGAAACAGGTGAATAAAATATGTTTTGCAAATAGAAAGTGCAGAAAATTTTACCATACAGATTTATTATACCGGTACTTCTGACACCAGAAACAATAGAATCTGAATGGCCATTTTTGTGCTAAAAAATCATCAAATATCAAGCATTTCTGGATGGATTTTGTTCAAACTTATAACATACATTAGACGTTTCTGGTTCCTGATGCACGTCATTTTATTTTTCAGAGTGGATTCAAAATGGCTGACTGGTGGCCATTTTGTTTTAATGAACGGGCTTCTAGAGCAATATTCTGACTTGCTTTGACTGGTTATGTTAAAATTTTTTATATTCATTATACATCATGTTATAGATATATACATGTATTTAAAATGGCTGATTTTGTTTTTTTTAATGCTGTTCCAGAGCAATATCTCTCAATATGGACAAGTACTCGTTTGACGATCAGATACAAATGTCAATCATTTTAATGTAAAACAATTATCATAATCATATTCCTGACATGGTTATTAGTCCCGGTTCGGACAAAGTCCGAAAACGGGGACTTATAATTCGGTCTCCGTCCGTCTGTGCGTCTGTCATATCTCAGAATCCCTTGGACCGATTCTGTTCATTCTTTGCATGTGCCTAGTACTTTATGTGGGACATATGCACATGCAGTGGTTTAGCGATTTGATTCAAAATGGCCGACTGGCAGCCATCTTGTTTTTTGAAAATGTTGTATTTTGGACATGCTTTGTCAGTTTTCATTCAAACTTGGTACATATATTATACATGTTTGGATACATGTCCATGACGATTTATTTCACAATTGGATCAAAGATGGTCGACTGGCAGGCATCTTGTTGTTTTTTTATGCGGTATCTTGGACATGCTCTGTCAGTTTTCATTCAAATTTGGCACATACATGTACTTTATACATGTTAGGATGCATGTCCATAACAATTGGTTTTAAAATCTGGACAAGGATGGTCGATTGACAGCCATCTGACTTTTTGGCCTTACTACTATAATTCCACAATTTATGTACCATTTTCATTCATATTTGGCACATACATCATACATATCAATGTGTTTCATGATCAGATCAAAGATGGCCGAATAACGGCTGTTTTTATTTTTGGCCATATTACTACTACACGGAACACATGTTTTGATGTAAATAAACAATCTGTTGTATACGCCACTTGGAACTCAAGTTTCAAGGACACGCTCACGACAACCCCTGACGAGCACAAAGAGAACTTTCAAAAATTTAACGGGGACTGTATCATTTTCAATGACTTGTATTTCAGCTATATTACCATAAACAAAACTATATATCTTAAATTTGATAACTAATGGGGACTCCGACTGTGCCATGCATGGCTTGTTTTCACTGAATCATTCCTTCAGCGAAAATAGTAAAAATTAATTCCAAGTGAAAATAATGTATTTTAGAGTAGAGTAAAGTGAAGACATGTAATGAACAATTCTGCATCCACCAATTGCAGGAATGCTGTCATTGTTGTCGTCTAGGAATCATGGCTAAAGATGAAATGCCGTTTGCTACGTGTGATCGTATTGTCAGCTTTGGTGAACCCTGTGATGGAGCATTCACAGAATGTTGTGCCAGAGGTAGCATAGTTGGACCATACCCTACGCCAACTGAAACAGCAGAAGAGGGTAAGTAACTTAATTTTCTTTTTATTTCATTAATTTACGTGCTTTAAAATATTTTTTCAATTTTTGATGATTTAGTGAAAAGGAAATCCATTGAATAAACCTTGTTTTCTATATATTACATTCAACTAGTCAAGGATCGATGAAAATTAATTCTATGAAAAACACCCAAAAAGTATTTTCAGCGAAAATTAATCCCAGCTAAAATAAATAATTTTACAGTACATTATGTAATTTGGGTTTTGTTTCAGAAAATCCATTGGAGTAAATAGTTAACACACACATAAACATTGGCCTGTTTCAGAACACCCACAAAATGGGAATGTATTAGTAATACGATTACAACTGTAACAACACCTCATAGCAAATAATCTACAGGGATCTGTTTTACCAGTAACATTGGATAATATCCATGTTATAGGGATCTTTCAAATGAAAATTACCCCAGTACTCATTACAGGAGCTTTTAATTTGTCTCATTGGTCGCCACATTTGACATGTTTAATGCACACCAATCACTTGAATGTTAGACAATTTACAGTGAAATAAAAAAGATGTGCATATCAATCTCTATTGCAACATTGTAATAATAATAATAATAATAGTTTTTATTTTGAGAACCAGCTCATAACAAAAAGTTAAAAGTTACTAACAACCCAACAGCAAAACAGAAATTAGACATATAGGGTGCCTTAGAAATATCAGAGAAGACCTTTTTCCAGTAGTTGCTGTCCCTCAACATGTCAGTAGACATGGCTGCCACAATTGAACTATTCTTACTAACAGTCAATCTTGTGTAAAAGCCAGTTCTGGAACAGTGGGAACACTATTTAAATTTTGTTTTTTTATTTCATTAATTTACGTACTTTAAAATACTTTATTTTTTCTATTTTTGATGAATCAGTGAAAAGGAAATCCATTGAATATACCTTGTTTTCTATATATTACATTCAACTAGTCAAGAATCGGTGAAAATAAATTCTATGAAAAACACCCAAAAAGTCTTTTCAGCGAAAATTTTACAGTAGTTTTGGTTTTGTTTCAGAAAATCAATTGGAATAAATAGTTTCCACACACATAAACATAACAATTGACCTGTTTCATTAAACAATTCTCACTAGCACTCAATCTTGTGTAAAAGCCAGCTCAGGAACAGTGCGAAACACCATTTAAAATCTGAGTTTCAGAAATACTAATACCATATAATATTCCTAATAATATTCCTATGAACATCAGCAGTCATGTTTGTTATGACTTTGCCCTCAACTATTGAAAATTAACATCACTAATTTGCATATTGAAAGTCCTACTTTATTTGATAGTACCGGTAGTGCTCACATTTGAAATGGAATTGTGATTAAATAATAATTCACTGTTCAAATGTAAAATGCTTGCTGAATTTAATAAATCACCATGTTTTGCTCAAAGTGTAATTTTCTTTTGAATCTAAATCCATAAATCCCATTTGAAAATGATTGTGTCCACTGGCAATGTTTCTCGAAATATTTTAATGTTATAAGGTGATGGAATTCCTGATCACTTTGTATAGTGCCCGGCCAGGGGTCACAATGTCCTAATTTAAAAATATGGGGAATCTTGTTGCTAAACCACAGATGGCTTGGCATCATCATATATGTTCCGACAAACCCCTTAGAAGGATTAATAAATAACAGTAATATGTGAAAATATAAACTGATTTGTATCGAAAATGCCAAAAAATGACCAACGTAACACAATTTCTCCATAAATTCTGACATCACAAACACACAAATTTCAAGTGATTGGTTGATGCCTCTGGGTCAAAACAGGTGAAGTGTTATACACTGTATGTCACATGCTCACTGATCACCAACCATTCATGTGTCTCGTCTCATCTCACATTTGTTTGTGTGGCATCAGATTGAAAAGATAGTTGTACAGCAGAAATTTTTTAACTGTGGTATAATTTTGTTACCCAGGCACTCAGAATCATGTTGCCAATACAAACATAACATAAATGAAATAATAATGTACACATGAGTATCTGACAGAACACATGCAATTACATTGTATATAGTGTTATGTAATGCACAAGAAAAACCGCTCTTGGGCACTGTACATGGTTACCCCTGGTCACTGGGAAATATTGTATCAATTTGTAAACCATTTTCAACTCTCTGGGAAGCAAACAGCCTGAACAGCCCAAGGCACCTCAGAGAGAAACCTATTCACTATTCACCTTGCCCCAAAACATAAAAAACACATCCTTCCGATTGCCAGTCTATAATAATATCCATTATGCTTCACCCGTGTCTTATGTATAATTTCGCCACTTTCAGATAACATGGATGAGTGCACAGAGTTTCCTGATCAGTTGTGTGCGCACACTTGTATTAATACACCTGGTTCCTTCATGTGTGCTTGCGACGAGGGTTACACATTACAGATAGATGGCAGAACATGTGCACCAGGTATATCTTCAACCACGCTAGTTAAATTACATATATGACCTCATTTGAAGTGATACAGTCACCAGAACTGCACTTCAACAACTAATGTTTACATGTTGTTAGCGACCAGTTTTTACACATCTGCTAAAAACTAGTTTTACATTTACACAGGCAAGGTAGTAAATTCATACAATTGTCAAATTGATGTTTTTTTTTTTTTTGTGACAATAAAGTAAAGTACATTAACCTAGTTATATTATAATTTTACCATGTTTCATCGATTTAACTGGTCATAAAAATATTATGGTGGACAAATTTCAAGTTTCCCTTTAACCTTTTCACCATCAGACTTACTCAACCAAATTTTTCTGCACTTTTTTTCTTATATTCTTCAATATTTCTGGAAATGAACCCTAAATTTTGAAGCCAACAGACATAATTTGAGTACATTTTAATTTTGTATTCAAAAGATTTGGCTTTTTTTGTCTCAATCTTCTGAAGGAAAAGTGCAGACTATAAACAGAACTATTTTGTGAATTTGTGATGAAATGAAATAACTGGTGGTGAAAAAGTTAACTGCATCTCTCATTCGGACAATATATTTTTACTGCCAAACTCAGAACATTAAAATTTGACAAAACCCAAGTTTTCCTGATTAATCAAGTTAGATAATTCCCTTTCTATTAGGCTCATGATTTCATTGATTGCTACCGATTTGCTGAAACAATATTATACAGGGTCAAAATTACCTTTGTCTGTATATTGATTTCAGTACGTGATCCATGTCTGAACTCTCCATGTGATCATAACTGCGATGTACTGAATAATGGTAATATAGTGTGTTCTTGTTTTGATGGCTACCAACTATTACCCGATGGTGTTAGCTGTGGTGGTAAGTATTTTCACAATTCAATGTTTCAAACCAAAATGACTGTCCCGATGACAAATAAGTCATTAATCTTTGCCACATAAGTGATAAAATTCTACTGCAAAACTTTTTTAAGTGACCACCTTTACCATATATGACGACCACTTTCCATGTACTTTTAGGCAGTCCTAAGGCAATCACATGAGCAACTTGTGTATGAAGACCACCTGTCTATAGTGACAATTTTTAGGCAGTCCTAAGGCATAACATATGAGCAACTTGTGTATAAAGACCACCTGTCTTATGTGACCTCTTTTAGACAGTCCTAAGGCAATCACATGAGCAACTTGTGTATAAAGACCACATGTCTATAGTGACAATTTTTAGGCAGTCCTAAGGCAATCACATGAGCAACCTGTGTATAAAGACCACCTGTCTCATATGACCACCCTTTCAGCAATATGTTTACAGATTTGTCTTTGTTTAAAGACAAAAATAATTATTAGCATTCTGTTCATGGAACAATTTTCAATTTACACAAGTTAAACTAATTTTATTTTGATCAACTCAAATAGTAATATTTCATTATTTCTAGATATGTTATATCAAATTTTTGAGTTGGTGATTCATAGAATAATATCCAACCTCAGTATAAAGACATTTTTTACATCACAGATACACACTACTGTATCATGTACCTTTTCTATTGGCTCTGTAGCTCTGTGCCAATTCTGCTGTTGAATTGCAGGTCGAAGAGCCAGTAAAAATAGCTGACGTCAAGAAAATAGCACACACTTAATTTTTAATACTACGATAGTAACTATATATGTATACCGGTATGTAAAGTAAAATGGTACAATGCAGGAGTAGTCTTGTTCAGGAGAGTTTCAACAACTAGCTCAAAGTACAGTTTTCTTAGGGTTTTCGAATGTTGTTTTCACCTGTGGTGTTTGCTAGGTGATGAATATGGCTGAATGCCCCTCCCCCCAGAGAATGCCCAACTTTGACTGTACCGGTACTAATCAAGCTGTAATCACAGCAAATCTTTCTGCATCAATGATGCACTGGTGAATCGGCACAACTAGTTGCATCACAACAAATCTTTCTGCATCAATGATGCACTGGTGAATAGGCACAACTAGTTGCATCACAGCAAATCTTTCTGCATCAATAATGCACTGGTAAATAGGCACAACTAGTTGCATCAATGATGCACTGGTGAATAGGCACAACTAGTTGCATCAATTATGCACTGGTGAATAGGCACAACTCGATGCATCACAGAAAAACTTTCTGCATCAATGATGCACTGGTGAATAGGCACAATTCGATGCATCACAGAAAATCTTTCTGCATCAATGATGCCCTGGTGAATAGACACAACTAGTTGTATCAATGATGCACTGGTGAATAGGCACAACTAGTTGCATCAATTATGCACTGGTGAATAGGCACAACTCGATGCATCACAGAAAAAATTTCTGCATCAATGATGCACTGGTGAATAGGCACAACTCGATGCATCACAAAAAATCTTTCTGCATCAATGATGCACTGGTGAATAGGCACAACTAGTTGCATCACAGCAAATCTTTCTGCATCATGATGCACTGGTGAATCGGCACAACTCGATGCATCAATGATGCACTGGTGAATAGGCACAACTCGATGCATCACAAAAAATCTTTCTGCATCATGATGCACTGGTGAATGGGCACAACTCGATGCATCAATGATGCACTGGTGAATAGGCACAACTCGATGCATCACAGAAAATCTTTCTGCATCAATGATGCACTGGTGAATAGGCACAATTCGATGCATCACAGAAAATCTTTCTGCATCAATGATGCACTGGTGAATCGGCACAACTCAATGCATCACAGAAAATCTTTCTGCATCAATGATGCACTAGTGAATAGACACAACTCAATGCATCACATAAAATTTTTCTGCATCATGATGCACTGGTGAATCGGCACAACTTGTTGCATCAATGATGCACTGGTGAATAGGCACAACTAGTTGCATCACAGCAAATCTTTCTGCATCAGTGATGCACTGGTGAATAGGCACAACTCGATGCATCACAGAAAATCTTTCTGCATCAATGATGCACTGGTGAATCGGCACAACTAGTTGCATCACAGCAAATCTTTCTGCATCATGATGCACTGGTGAATCGGCACAACTCGATGCATCAATGATGCACTGGTGAATAGGCACAACTCGATGCATCACAAAAAATCTTTGTGCATCATGATGCACTGGTGAATGGGCACAACTCGATGCATCAATGATGCACTGGTGAATAGGCACAACTCGATGCATCACAGAAAATCTTTCTGCATCAATGATGCACTGGTGAATAGGCACAACTC